TTAATTTAATGGCATTTTACTTAATTTAATGGCATTTTTGCTTAACCTAATGGCATTTTTAATTAATTTAACTGCATTTTTACTTCATATAATGGCATTTTTACTTATTTTAATGGCATTTGTGCTTAATTTAATGACATTTTACTTCCTATAATGGCATTTTTGCTTAATTTAATGGTATTTTTAATTAATTTAACTACATTTTTACTTCATATAATGGCATTTTTACTTATTTTAATGCCATTTTTACTTCATATAATGGCATTTTTACTTAATTTAATGGCATTTTTACTTAATTTAATGGCATTTTTACTTAATTTAACGGCATTTTACTTCATATAATGGCATTTTTACTTAATTTAATGGCATTTTACTTAATTTAATGTCATTTTACTTAATTTAATTGCATTTTTAATTAATTTAACTGCATTTTTACTTAATTTAATGGCATTTGTGCTTAATTTAATTACATTTTTACTTCCTATAATGGCATTTTTGCTTAATTTAATGGCATTTTTAATGAATTTAACTGCATTTTTACTTCATATAATGGCATTTTTACTTATTTTAATGTCATTTTTACTTCATATAATGGCATTTTTACTTCATTTAACGGCATTTTACTTTACTTCATATAATGGCATTTTTACTTCTTGAAATGACCTTTTTACTCATTTCACAGCTTTAGTTGAGTTTTTGAAACAAGTCTTCCTTTGAAATTATGTTTCTCTTTGACAAAATAAGTCACGCAGTTTATTACATAGTATTCCAAGCAGTGACAAATTTCTAATGCTGTGTTCCCACCAGACGCTGCAAGCGTGGATAAATCACAATATTCGTGCATAAATAGACATGTGAACATTTTGAGTTTACTCATTCGCGCGTCAGATTCACTTCACAACAGATGCAGATTCGCGTCATGGGCGGGCCTTCTGTCTGCCCGGTGACTGTAGCTTCGATGCTACATGGCTCACATATGTGCTTTAAAAAGGCTGAAAAACAGCGTCGATACCATTAGAGCCGTGTCCGAGTCCACTAGATCCACTCGGAGGTGCACTCAGCTTTGTGAGTTCATCAACTCCTCCAGAAACTGTACCTGGATGATGGGAGCGTTCAGTGGTGCTTCCGACTGAGCCGAGCCCAGGTTGATCAACTGTTGTAGTTGACTGCAGGGGGATTTTTTTCTTGGGACATGAACAACAGATGCTACGTCATAAAATAATAATAATAATAATAATAATAATAATAATAATAATAATAATAATATTAATAATAATAATGATGATGATAATAATAATAATAATAATAATAATAATAATAATAATAATGCTAATAATAATAATAATAACAACAACAACTACAACAATAATAATAATAATGCTAATAATAATAATAATGCTAATAATAATAATAATAATAATAATATAAATAATAATAATAATAATGATAATAATAATAATAATAATAATAATAATAATAACAACAACAACAACAACAACAACAACAACAACAACAAAAACAATAATAATAATAATAACAATAATAATAATGCTAATAATAATAATAATAACAATAATAATATTAATGCTAATAATAATAATAATAGTGCTAATAATAATAATAATAATAATATAATAATATCAATAATAATAATAATAATAATAATAATAATAATAATAATAATAATAATAATAATAACAATAATAATAAACTGCAATACAGAAAATGCTAAATTAGCATTAGAAGTGAATAATGCATACAAAAAAAAAAAAGATTCCAAAGTAACATACATTCAACAATAAATGCACAAAAATAAAAAAAGTTACCATCCACGCCTGTAGGTCCTAACCACTGACCACACTAATGTTGCCACCTCCTAAAATGATGAAATAATGACCTGATACCAGCACAACACATTAAATCACACAGGCAAAACAGAGTTAAACAGTGTCAGACAGAGTAAACGTTACTGTGCACTACCCGAGCGAATAGGTAAGCGCTTGCTGCTAATTACAGCTGACGGATCAGTGGAGTGTGTTTCAGGAAAGACTAAAGGGTCAGGATGAGGTACAGGAACACAAATTGATGAATACACCATTACACACACACACAGCATTCACAGAAACCGCATCGATAATGCGTGTACTGTGGTCTGGGGACATGCATGGCAGAGTTTAAATAACTTTAATGAACCTTATCTGGTTCCTATTGGAAAAGGAGCCCGGACAGGGCAGCATTTATCAAGTGGATGAGAAGCCAAGGCAGATATTTCAGACTGCTTCGACCCTCTGGGTTTGTCGGAAAACCTATATAGTCAATAAAACCAATGTTAGCATCCAAAATAAGACCAACAAGAGGGAACAGTAGATGTTCTGTTAATGCTGGGTTTTGGATTAACCCCTTAATTTCCACTTTAGGAAAAATAACTGACGGTTACATTGTGTTCATGACACTTTTATTTGACTATTTTGGGTTTTTGTTTTAATGATAACATATGGACAAAAGGTCAACACAATGTTAAAGCGATAGTTCAACCAAAAACAAACTTGATCCAAACTTGGATCTGACGTCCCATGTCTCTGAACAATTCTTCTTCTTCTATCGGGTTTAATTGTGGTTTGCAGAATAACTGAGAAGGTGCATCTCTGATCACTGTAACAGCTAAAAGAGACAAAGCTATCTTACGCATGTAAATAAAGCTGCAACTCATTCACAATAGAGTGCAACACTGATTGTCTTGAACCAACTCGAGCTTTTAAATATTCTAGCTCTTGTTTATCTAACAAACCTCCTGTCTTGCCACAACCCAACCAGCTTTTAAGGATCTCAAAACTTAGGGTAGTACTCAGAATAGCAAAGTCCACTAAAGGAGGTTGAGCCTTCTCATATATGGCTCCGAAACACTGCAACATGAACGACATGAAAGCATGGATCCATCCTGCCTTGTAGCAGCGGCTCAGGCTGCTGGTGGTGGTGTAATGGTGTGGGGGAGATTTTCTTTGGGTCCATTAGTACCAATTGAGCATCAACGCCACAGCCTACCCGAGTATTGCTGCTGACCATGTCCATCCCTTTATGAGCACAGTGTCTCCATCTTCTGATGGCTACTTCCAGCAGGATAACGCAGCATGTCATAAAGCTCAATCATCTCAGACTGGTGAACATGACGATGAGTTCACTGTACTCAAATGGCCTCCACAGTCACCAGAGCTCAATCCAATAGAGCACTTTAGGGATGTGGTGGAACGGGAGATTGGCATCATGGATGTGCAGCCGACAAATCTGCAGCAACTGTGTGATGCTATCATGCCAATATGGAGCAAAATCTCTGAGGAAAATTTCCAGTAGCTTGTTGAATCTCCGCCACAAAGGATTAAGGCAGTTCTGAAGGAGGGGGTCCAGCCCAGTACTAGTAAGGTGTACCTAATAAAGTGGCCAAAGAGTGTATATTTCTGTCAGCATCTCAAAAAAACTTTGTGTTTTAGGATTTCATGACCCCTTAAACGTATTTGTTCTGTTGAAAAAGAAGATATTTTGATGGATGCTGGAAATCTGCAACCATTGACTTCCATATTTGTCAATTGTTGCAGGTTTTCAGCTCTAAAACTTCTAAAAAAACAGAAGAAAGAAACCCATGAAGGTTTATAAGCCCTTGACAGTGCGTAAATAGTAAGTAAACATTCATTTTTTTGAGTGAACTATCCCTTTAAATCGTTAAAATGCACAAAAATGTGTTTTTTAATACTTTGCATTGAGACGGTTGGATGATTACAGTATGCTGCAAAGTTTAAAATAAATAAATAAGTACAGGCACAAACAATTATTGGAAAGAAGTTTAATATTTTTAATTAGTAAAAGTCATTATGAGAAGCATCTGCCATGTCTGCTTTATTTTTTTATCTTTTCACTGAGCTCTGCATTTTGTGAGTGCTGACTAAGAGCTTGGCAGAAAACAAGAGATATCCGAAAAGGCATCATAATTAATGTGAAAACAGCCAGCATGACACCTTAAAATGCTGTCTAAAAAAGGTAGCTCTCTTGGTTTTGTAAGCAGGCAAGCGTGTCTACAGTGCGTTTCATAAGACAGCAGGGGTTCTGTCCTGGGCCCGTTGTCTTTTTATGAGAGCACTCTGGAGCGTTGCAGCATTTGTCTCCCGGTTGCTTCCAGGAAGCGGTTTTATAAATACACTGTAAGTCTTCCCACAATTATTTCATGACATAGTGAGTTTTAAGAGACTCTAGATGCACCAACTTGGCTCGTTTTGTTCCCGCTTCTTTTTCGGGTTTTGTTTTCCAGAGGTTTCGCTTATAGAACAACAACAAAAAAAATCAAGAGGCCTAACATGGCTGCCTGTTAAGTTCCCTATTGATTATAAAACATTGCTTTTTACCTATAAAGCTTCAACTAGTCTCGCTCCTGTTTATCAAACCAACTTTCTGTCTCGCTACAATCCAACCTGCTCTTTTAAGATCTCAAAACTCAGGTCGTCTTGTAGTAACCAGAACAGAAAAGTCCACTAAAGGAGGTCGAACCTTCTCATATATGGCTAATAAATAATGGAATTGCCTTCCTGATAATGTCTGAGGATTCAAAACTAGATTAAAGACCTATATTTTCATTAAAGCATACACACGATGCATCACAGAACTGCAGGAGCATGTTAAAGAGATCCACTGCAATGTTTTTGTATTTTTCATCAAGTTTTTGTCTTGTTTTCTTTCTAGTCCAATGTTTAATAAGACTTAATTGTTTAGCTCCTGTTTATCTAACCAACCTTCTGTCTCGCTACAATCCAACCCGCTCTTTAAGATCTTAAAACTCAGGTCGTCTGGTAGTACCTATGATAGAAAAGTCCACTAAAGGAGGTCAAGCCTTCTCATATATGGCTCCTAAATAATGGAATAGCCTTCCTGATAATGTCTGAGGCTTCAAAACTAGATTAAAGCCCAATCTTTTTATTAAAGCATACGCACAATGCATCGCATAACTGCAGGAGCATGTTGAAGAGATACACTGCAATGTTTGTTTGTTTTCTTTCTAGTCCAATGTATAATAAGACTAAATAGTCTCGCTCCCGTTTATCTCACCAATCTTCTGTCTCACTACAATCCAACCCGCTCTTTAAGATCTCAAACCTCAGCTCATCTGGTAGTAACCATGATGGAAAAGTCAACTAAAGGAGGTCGAATTTGCATGTTCTCCCCGTGTTGGCATGGGAGATCTCCGGGAGCACCGGTTTTCCCAAACACATGCGCTATAGGGGAATTAATGAACTAAATTAGCCATAGTGTATGAGTGTGTGAATAGCCCCTTTCACACAGTGATACCGGTAAATATCTGGAAAATTTCCGGAACGACTTTACCGGTATGTTCAAAAAAGCGCTGTTCACACAGGCGAGGACGTTACGGAAATTTTCCGGAAAAGAGCATTCACACATCCATTCCAAAATACCGGTAAATTCTGACATCATTCACCACAAATGAGCTTTAAACGGCTGCGCTTGTGTTTGTAAACATTTGACTAAATTACAAACTCTGTGGATGATCAATATTGGGAACAACTTTCGCAGGATCACTTTCGCATGTCGAGATGTTCATAATATGTGCGTGTGCAGGCGCTCACAGGCTGTTCACAGGCACACGCAAAGCTTGAAGGTAAACAAACAACGGCTTATCATAAGCATCTCATCGATGATTATTTACACAGTTGGCATAAAGAAGAACATATAAATGTGATCTGACTAACTTCTAGCAGCTAAATGTGTCTGGAAAAATATTCAAAGGCTTTTATTCTCATAAACCGCGCGGACGTAAATGCGTCTGACTGTTGTGATTGGCTTAAGCAGACGTCTCACGTCAGCACGTTCTAGACGTGCACGCGCTTATTACGGGAATCTTCCTTCTGCATTCACACAGCGCAGCATTCCGGCAAATTGCCGGTAATGTTACAACTTCTCTTTCCGGAAAATAGCCAGAACGAATTTACTGGTATTATCAAAAAGGACCTGTTCACACATACAACCTTTCCGGAAAATTGCCGGTAATTTTCCGGAAAGGTCTGTATGTGTGAAAGGGGCTAATGAGTGTGCATGGGTGTTTCCCAGGGCATCAGCTGTATATGCTTGAATAATTGGCAGTTTATTCTGCTGTGGCAACCCCTAATAAATCAGGGACTAAACCGAAAGAAAATACTTGAATGAATGAACATTTACTGTTTAAAAGCTCTCAGCTAATAGTAAATTCACTTTAACTAATAACCTTACCTTTCCCTTATTTGATTGTAATGCAATAATGTGCATTAATGTTTTGTAAATCTACTTTGAAGACATCACCTATATAGTAAATATGTAACTGCATGTTAACTGTGTTTATATATAATAACCTTTACTATGAGCGGAATGGTGGCTCAATGGTTAGCACTGTCGCTTCATAGCAAGAAGGTCACTGGTTCGAGTCCCGGCTGGGCCAGTTGGCATATCTGTGTGGAGTTTGCATGTTCTCCCCGTGTTGGGATCTCCGGGAGCACCGGTTTCCCCCACAAGTCCAAACACATGCGCTATAGGGGAATTGATGAGCTAAATTGGCCGTAGTGAATGAGTGTGCATGGGTGTGGAAGGGCATCAGCTGTATATGCTTGAATAGTTGGCGGTTCATTCTGCTGTGGCAACTCCTAATAAATCAGGAAATATGGCGAAAGAAAATACTTGAATGAATGAACATTTACTGTTTAAAATCTCTTAGTTTAAAGTGAATTAATAGTAACTAATAACCTTTCCCTTATTTGATTGTAATGCAATAATGTGCATTAATGTTTTGTAAATCTACTTTGAAACAATAATTAATGTCAATATATGCTTGAACATCAGTACAGTGGAAAAATAAAGTCCCTGCTTTGTGTCAAATGTCTCTTCTGTGGTTATTTTAAAGGGCAAAAGATAAGAAAAGTTCACTGGAACTGTCTCTCTCTTTTTCCCTCTCCAGCTCGTCATCCCTCTGGACCCTTTTCGTACAAGCAGCGGTGGAACGCGGCCTAAAAAAACAAGCGGTGGAAAGGGTTTTCAGCAAGTTAATTACATCAGGGTGAGGGCTGTGAAAGGCTGCATTGTTTGTGTCAGGGCCAGTCAGCATCAGAGCTTAAAAAAACCTCTACAAGTGGCGTTCTGCGCACCTCGACCCCGCTGGGCTGGACGCCGCACCACGTTAAACATCTCTTAAAGACGCCCTCGTGGCTGTTTGCTGTTTTTCTTCAAAGTGACGAAACAATATTTGGAGTAGCAGAATAAACACTGTGAGAGGTAATGGGTAGAGGGGAGGAAAGGAGTCATGCTGTTCGGCAAGTCAACGGCGCTCTTGTTTGCACTGTTTACTAGGGGTGTGAACTAGGGAAAATATATAGCTTCAGTATCAATATCGCAATGTGCGCATATGCAAAAGTCACATCGCAGGATGTGCAATGTCGAATCAGGGTTATAATTAACCAGGAACCACTGTTCAGAACATTGCAAAGTGTTTAAGGCATTTGACTAGACATATATAACTTAATTTAACCTAGTTTGTTGATTTAAACGGGACCTATTATGCAAAATTATTTTTATAAATGGTTTAAACCCAGTTGTGTGTTAGAAGTGTGTGAATATAACCAGACTACAATGGTAAACAATTATTAATTGTATTTTTTATAATCAGACTTGACTACTTGACTAAAGCAGTCTGCAGAAACACTAATTGGCATGCCCTCTTTGTACATATCATCAGAGGGGGAAAGCCCCGCCCACTAGTGACAATTTCTTCCTCATTAGCATAAACAGCAGCCCTGAGTGAGAAGCAGCCGTATGCTATTAGTTTTGAATCTGCCACTGCTGACTGGTAGGCATTTATAGCTCCACCCTTTTTTGAAAGGAGCACAATCTCATTTGAATTTAAAGCGACATTCTTCAAAACATTAACATTAACCCTGTTTACTTCAGATGTGAACTAGGGAAAATATATGTACACAATGTAAAAATATGTAATAGTCACATCACAGGAGTCTGGATTATAATCAAGCAGAACATTGCAAAGTTTTACCCTAATACAATTATTGTGTTTTTAGGATGTGACTATATGATTTCAAGCAAATTTAAACTATAGTTTGTGGCTTTAAAGGGGACCTATTATGCAGAAATCACTTTTATAAGAGGTTTAAACCCAGTTGTGTGTTAGCAGTGTGTGAATATAACCAGCCTACAATTGTAAACAATTATTAATTGTATTTTTTTATAATCAGACTTGACTAAAGCAGTCTGCAGAAACACTTTGATTGACATTCTCCCTTTGTACGTGTCATCAGAGGGGGAAAGCTCCGCCCACTAGTGACCATCTCTCCCTTAAAAGCATAAACAGCAGCCCTGAGTGAGAAGCAGCCGTCTGCTATCAGTTTTGAATCTGCCACTATGCTGACTCATAGGTAGGGCCAGACGGAATCTGCGGACATTTTTTACTATATCTGCGGAATTATTTTGGGTGTATCCAGCGAGTATCATAACTAAAACCTTAATATATGAAACAAAAAGTAATAAATTACTGAATAAAAACTGAATAAATTTAGATTTACACATTTACTCAAGTAAATAAACAGAATTAATGAATGAAAAATCGGCAGAAATCTGCGGAATTCTGTGGAAAATTGGCAGAAAATCTGCAGAATTCTGCACGCGCAGATTCCGTGTGGGCCTACTCATAGGCCTTTATAGCTCCGCCCTTTTTTAAAAGGAGCACAATCTCATTTGAATTTAAAGCGACAGTCACCAAAACACAAACATTAACCCTGTTGACCAGGGTTGTTTTATGAAAAATGTATCTATTTAGCATTAATATCTTAATGTGCAAATCTGTAATAGTCACACCGCATGCATTGTTAAATCAGGATATTCTTCAAAGTGATAAAGATAGACTGATGCAGCTTCTCCCACCGCAGTAAATTCAGTTTTGACTGTTGATATTTGGCACCAGTTAATCAGGAAGTGATGATCTTGTTCTCTTTTTGACTCGTTGGATTCATTCGCACGTCTTTTATACGATATTCCAGTTTTGCACTTGAATTTAATTCACATTTTTGGATTGAAACAGCTACTGAGTACTCCTTTCATTATTTGGTGCAAATAGGTACAGAAAAAAATATGTACTCTCCCATTCACTGCGCTCCAGGTTTACCAACTACAACAACATCCGCCTTCGAGAAATCCCAGAAACGTGAAAGTCTCCATTTAGACCGTTTACTCTTCACAGAAGAGTCCGTGACCTTCAGAGAGGTTATCTTAACCCGGACATCCATCCTCTTTTCCTCTTTCGTGGCACAAACACAATACACAAAAGCAGTCACATGATCAGGACACCGTATGAGGATCATCTTAAGCTGGATCTGGCAAACAGGCAAACATCTTCTGTGGTCGCATATAGCACGCGAATCTCCCCGGAGTGGACTGTGGGCAGCGCCATATGTAATGGAAACCAGACTAATGATACAAACAACAAATAAAAAAAAAACAAAGAGCAGGGGAAAAAAGCTGCCTGTCATTAAAAGATGCATGTGTGTCTATGCTGGGAAGCGGGACTGTTTATGCTCTTATTTCCTGCAGTTAAAACTATGTGGAAACATTTGAGGGTTTTTTTTACCCTCTCAACGTGGCACATTTGCTGGATCTCTCATCCTGCGAAAAGCAATTCATATTTTAGTGTGGTCCTACCTGAGGCTCTATTATGATATCAAGACAAGCTCTGAGATCTTGGGTAAATTGCTCTTCTGCAATTCCCTTTCAATTTTCTTTCCCGTGATGACCTATTTAAAGACCCCAGTGACAGATGAGTCTCAGCATTGATCCAGTGGGTCAGCCTGAACACCCGCCAGTGACCTACTCGCAACTGCAGCTTCTCCACGATGGACGTCCAGCCAAGATCATGTTGTCATGTTCCTAACCTTTAACCACCACCTATTCCACAGTGCTCCGGCCCCTTATGGCTCCCCCTGCAGTTGGCAGGCATGCAGGAGGATGGTCCCACATCGCTCTTTAGGGCTGAGCTCGGCCACGTTCCGTGGGATAAAACCCGGCCACCAGGTGCTCACATACGAGCCCCAAACCTAGGCCTGGCTCCAGGGTGGGGTCCAGGCTGCGCCATATCAGGTGACGTCGCGGTCCTCGGTGTTATGGTGCTCATGAGGGGTTTTTGAAGGGGTTTGCTCTATCATATATTATTTTTATTATATAACAGTGGAAATAATACACTCATGCGGCCTTAAACATCACAAACTGGTGTTTTGTTATGTGCGTGATTATGCTGTAGTTTTTATTAATATTTTTTAGATTTATAAAAAAAAAAATACTGTGAAGGTTTTATTGATTTTGGTATTATAATATACACATTTTTGGTATAATTTAATAAATAGATTTGAAATTTTTTTTTTTTTCATTTATATATTGCAGGTGTTTAAGGACTTCAAGCTGAAATAAAACTGGGAAATATTTCCTTGCAGATCATTAAATAATTAATTTTTTTTTTTTATTAAATGTATTGCTGTATACAATTCAACCTAAATAATAACTAAAGTTTTCTTCTAGTGGTTGAAAAAAAAAATAATTAATTAATTAAATACCTAAAACAAGTTTATTCTTTGTGTGATTTCCTTTAAATAATTAAAATCCTTAATTTATTCATTAGTAATCATTAAATATAAAGCATATTTATAATTTGCAATTTAATATTCAAATAGCTTATATATGATATAAAAATATATATTAAACTATAATTCATCATGTAATTACATG